AGAAAAAGAAAACCCTTTCCCTCCCCCCCCCCCCCCGTGGCACAGCGGCTCGGAAGCCCACGCAGATCTTGGCAAGGTCAAGTCTCCTTTTTCTCTGCAAGCTCCTTTCCGTTTGTTCCTCTCCTTTCCCAGCTGCTGGAATCCCACTCTGGAGATGAAGGTGGGGTGGGAAAGCGGCTCCTCCGGGTTTTCTTTGGGCTTTTTGCCCTTTCTGAGGGCAACGAAATTAGTGAAGGGCCTAGAAGACAAATCATATGAAGAGCGGCTGAAGGAGCTGGGGCTGTTTAGTACGAGGAAGAGGAGGCTGAGGGGGGACCTCATCACTCTCTACAACTACTTGAAAGGACACTGTAGAGAGGTTGGTGCTGGTCTCTTCTCCCAGGTAATTAGTGACAGAACGAGAGGGAACGGCTTCAAGCTCCAACAGGGGAGGTTTAGATTGAACATTAGGAAGGAATTTTTCACCCAAAGAGTGGTCGGGCATTGGAACAGGCTGCCCAGGGAGGGGGTGGAGTCCCCATCCCTGGCTGTGTTTAAGGGCCGTTTAGATGCAGTGCTGAGGGACATGGTGTAGGGGAGGACTTTGTAGAGTAGGGGAGATGGTTGGACTCGATGATCCCAAGGGTCTCTTCCAACCTCAATGATTCTATGATTCTTTGCTCTCCCCTGTCCCACGGAGGGGGGACATGTCACCCCCGGGCAGACCCACCTGCAGGGACCACGCGGGTGTTCGGTGCGTGGGTAGAGGAGAAGCCATGGGAAAGCTGAACCCCTGCCCCCTCCGAGCCCACACGCTTGGTGCTGCTGGTGAGGATCTGTGTCCACCTGGCCACCACCCATCATCCATCCTCACCTATCATCACCCACTGTCACCCATCGTCACCCAGTCATCGTCAGCAGTTGTCACCTGGGGAAATGGGTGACTGTATTTATCATAGAATCACAGAACGGTTAGAGTTGGAAGGGACCTTAAAGATCATCCAGTTCCAACCCCCCTGCCCCGGGCAGGGACACCTCCACTAGAGCAGGTTGCTCAAAGCCCTGTCCATTATGAGCCCCCCTTTATGAGTCCCCACGAGTGTTAGTGACTGCGGGTGGCCATGGAGGGTGGCACCCACTCCCCCATGGGGTTGTGGCAGCCAGTGCCGGGGTTGTGGCAGCCCGTGGAATCATAGAATCACGGACTGGTTTGGGTGGGAAGGGACCTCAAAGCCCCCCCAGTGCCACCCCCTGCCCTGGGCAGGGACACCTCCCACCACACCAGGTTGCTCCAAGCCCCCTCCAACCTGCCCTTGAACCCCTCCAGGGATGGGGCAGCCACAGCTTCTCTGGGCAACCTGGGCCAGGCTCTCCCCACCCTCCCACCAAACAAGTTCTTCCCCACAGCTCAGCTCCATCTCCCCTCTTGCAGGGTCCAACCCTTCCCCCTCCTCCTAGGGCTCCCCTCCCTCAGCCAGAGTCCCTCCCCGTGGACGTGGAGCTGAGCCTTCCCCCCCCGCCGAGGGACAGGGACAAAACGTGCCCGGACCGGGTGTGCAGCCGTTAAAGCCGCCCACGGAGCTCCTCCAGCCGCCTCCCCCCGGGGTCACACGGAAATCAGAAAGACATGGCTTCACTTGTCTTTTCAAATCAAGTTGTGAACAATACTCGCTTTTTTTAAAATGTGGATTTTTCATACGACAGGAACTAATGGCCCTTTCAGAGCAGTTATGGTCTATCTTGTCAATTTGGTTTCTATTCGTGCATGCTAAGTGAATTTTTATAGCCAAACTAGGAGTCCTTAAAAATGGGCCTTATACTGGAAATGCAGATGTGACTTGCAGTGAGTTGTGCTGGGAGAGCATCCCTGCCCCTGGGGAGCCAGAACCGGGAAATCAGAATTCCCTTTGTCCGTGCACATAACACGACTCCCAGGCACTCTTTCATCTGCACTGCCAGGCAGGAAGGAGAAGCAGAATTAGCCCCTCATTACAATAATGTTTCTCACACTTTCCCCAGCTACTCTCTGCAGGCCCCGCCGGGGCCCGGCCCCTCAGCCCCGAGCGCAGGCCCCGCGGCCCGGCCCCGCCGCCGCCGCCGCCATGGCGCTGAAGATGGTGAAGGGCAGCATCGACCGCATGTTTGATAAAAACCTGCAGGATCTGGTGCGCGGAATCCGCAACCACAAGGAGGATGAGGTGAGAGGAGCCGGTCCCCGCCGCCGCCGCCGAGGGAGGGGAGGGGGGGAGTCCCGGCCTGGGCTGGCTCCCCTCGTCCCTCCGTGCTGGCTGTCAGCCGCTTCCCGGCCGGGTCCCGCTCCTCCGGGGCGGGGGGAGCCGTCTCCAGCCCCTTCCCCGCGGGGGAGGCTGCCTCAGGCCCACAAGCCGCCGGGTGTCTCGGCCGGCCGGGAAAGGGGATGTTGTGTGGGGGAAGGTGGAAGCAGGAATCGGAAGGAGGAAGATGGCTCTGGGGTGTAGGCCCAAAGGGAGAGGCTGTGGGAGGACGAGAAGGCGTGAGGGGAAGGATGGGTTGAAGAGGGAGATGAGGGAGGGTCACGCTCAGTGCTCGCTTTCCCATTTATCATGGTATTGTGGTGTCGAGATCCCTGATACCTGCAGCAGGGAATTCCTTCCCATTGCAACTACCAGAGTCAACTCTATATTCTTCATCATGAAGCTGGTCTGCAGGAAAGCTGAGCTCAGTCATCATTCAGCTTCCAGGTTATCCATGTTGTGCACCTTCTGACTGAAATGTGTTTTCCTTGTTTCAAAACCTTTGTAGGCAGGAGGCAATCGGATGTGTTGAACTGTTATTCTCACTTGTATTGGAGGCACGTGATCAGGAAATTAGTAGAGGTGAAATAATTAGTCATCAGGAACGTGTTATGTGAGACTTTCTGCATTGAGGTGTCACATGTTAATTGGGGAGTAACGGACGCTAAGGATGTCATTTGTGTTCACCTTCAAGTAAGTAGTCGTGGCCTTAGAAGCTTTCTTAGGAATGGGCTAACAGTTATTCCTTGCTGGAATATCAGTGAGTAGCTGTGGAGTTAGTGGCTAAAAATATTTGTAGACTACAGTGTCTCTTCATAAGGGTACAGTATCCAAATGGTGTCAGCTATGAAAAGTATCTGGAAAAGTTGTAATTGTCTAACTAAATGAAATATTAATTTGGAAAACGACGATCTTCGTTACTGATGCTGTTGGACTTAAAACACAAAATACAACTTTCAAAGCCACTTGAATGTTCAAATGGCTTTTAAGGCTGTTGTGCACAGAACAAGGTGTTAGTGATGATACCTGGGAAACATATATTTTTATTTTAATCTACATGAAATATGTGGCTATTGGTTGGTGGCAGAGGAAGGTGGTGCTACTGTGAAGTGTGCAGTGCCCTGCAAAGCATGGGAAGCTGCAGGGAGAAGTGGAACCAGGATGTCTAAATGGACACTTAATGTATTCTCCTCAAAGCTGGAACAGGTGAACAGTAACTCTATGGAGCACTTCCCCATAGTGTGCTTAGGCCCGGTTTGTATGCTACACTGCTTCTGGTAAATATGCTTTATTCTTTTGTGCATAGGACAGAAAATGTTCCTTCAACTCTCAAACCTCTGAAGATCCCTCCGACGAAGGTCCAGGCTGGTCCAGGCCTTTGTGGCACCGGTGCTCTTTGAGGAGGATTGAACGTACCGTTCTCATTTCTGAAATAAATTTTGTGACAGCTCGTTTTCCAGGACTTCATATATATTCAGAGGGTAAAGAGCACAAGTGCAGTTAGAGTCAGGTTTAACGAGTTACTGAGCATCATAAGCAGTAACGAGTTTGTTCTGTGACAAGAAGTAGTTACGATGCCTTGGCTTTGATCTCCTTTAGAGTTAGGAAAAAATACTCCTCAGAGAGTTTTTGTAGAGGTGTGTGTACTTGAAGGAAGCTGTTATACAGGTATTATACACATGCTCTGGGATTCAGTGAGGTCAAAGCAAATGTGGGATCTCTTACAGTAAGTAGGAGGCTGATGTCAGTTACAGTGGTTGGACTTGTAGCTTGATAGTATTTTAAATGGTGGCAGCTCTTTGGTTTGAAAAGCAAGTTGAGAGGTTTTAAAGTAGATAACTGAAGGACAGTTCCTGTTTCTATCCTCATATGCATAGCAAAAATTAAACCCCAGATGTCAAGATGTGTTCAGCTGATCAGTAGACATCGCACTGATGAAAAGTATGTCTTCTGTAGAATAGACTTTTGAATCCTTCAGAGATTTTGCTTAATTACATAGAGTGGATGCAAACAGCACAGGACTGTTCCTGTTTCTAGATCAGCAAAGCAGAGAGGGCTGTAAAGCTTCTGCTATTACAATGCTGGGCGTTGATTCAGTGCTTCCCAGGCAATGGGCTTGGAGGTCTGCTAGCTTTCAAGTGATGTTGCAAAATCAGACTAGTATTTTTTAGAGGAAGTAACTGCACAAAATCTTCCTCTCTTCCCCACAGTGCTTCCATTGTTCATTGTATCTGTTAAATGTTGCTCCAGTGCTGAATATAGTTGTTCAACCACCGTTTGTGTGTCTCAAGATAACTGTCTAAGCTTAAGACGCACACTCTGTCCTGTACAGAAGAGCAAATTTGTTTAAAATAAGAGCATGCTTTGGTGGCAAGTCTAGGTGGTGTTGAGCTCAGCTCAACGAGAATTGCTCTGTGGAAAGGAGGTACAGTGGTTGTTAAATAGAAATGACATGGAAGGCATTGAAAGCATGATTATTGCTTTGACTTCTGATTTAGTTATGCTTTTTGCAGAAGGCTAATTTCTGTTGTATGTGTTGGTTCTTGTCTTTTGGAATTTAATCGTATGGAAATTCTGCCATCCCTTTTCCCCATCTTTTTGGGCAGCCTCTCCTGGTAGACAGGAGGTAGTAAGATTTATTCCTTTCCAGTTCCTCCACAGGTACCATCAGGAGCCCATATACGTGGTATTTCACTGATGCATGGGGGATGTGTTTAGTGCAGGATGTGCCGAATGGTCACCTCGGTTCAGACGTGGGTTCCTCAATACAGCTTTTTAGCAGCCCCAGCTGTGTTCTTCCTCAGTGGTTGTGTGTTCACCCTGTATTGCCAGGACTCTCAAGCTCACTCCCCAAGGCAAAATGAAGTGAAGCAAATGGAGTGCCATGAGCTCTTTACCGATATGTTTCAGGTGTCCTCCTCAGCTCAGTGAGGAAACAAGAGGGTACTGGAGGGAGCTTAGCTCCCATCCTTGGTGCAGAGTGCTTAATCACAGAATCTTCTAGGTTGGAAGGGACCTTCAAGATCATCTTGTCCAACCGTCAACCTCACTGACAAAAATAGACACCCACACAACAAACAAGGAGCATCATCACTAAACCAGACCTCCCAGCACTACATCAACCCCTCTTTTGAACACCTCCAGGGATGGGGCCTCAACCCCCTCCCTGGGCAGCCCATTCCAAGGGCTGAGAACCCTTTCAGTGAAAAAATTTTTCCTAATATCCAGCCTGAACCTCCCCTGGCGTAACTTGAGGCCATTTCCTCTCGTCCTGTCACCTGTGACTTGAGAAAAGAGACCGACCCCCACCTCTCTACACCCTCCTTTCAGGTAGTTGTAGAGAGCAGGCCTTTTTCATTTTAGTTTTTGGTCTGTATCCAAAGCTGACCCATTTATTTTGAGTTTCTAACACTGGAAGTGAAGTGATGGATATCCTTGAGAGGTGAGGGCCAGGAGTTAGTTAACAGTCACTTCTCTCTGCAGACACGCTCTGTCCATTTTCCAGTCTTCCGGGGAAAATTGGACCCGCATCATCCTTCTGCAAAGGAAAGGCTGCTGTGGAAGGAATGAGGTAGCGGAACAGCATTAGAACTTTCTCTGGTTTGACGTGCTGTGTTTGCTTTTCAAGGCTCTGTACAGATGCTCCAATCCCTGTGGTGTTTCCCTGTGCCAGCTCAAAGGCTGAGGGAAGGCCAAACCTGCCAGAAAAACGTTGATCCTATTCCATCCTCCCCGACCTTCACTTCATATCTCATTCTCTCTTTCCTTTGGAAGACAAATCTTCTTGCTAGTGAAAGCAGTGAGTCTTTCATCTGCGATTAGCTGGGTTTGTACCCTATGGAATAACTTCTCCCACTTTGTGCCTGCTTTTTATGGACGTGCTGCGACGCAGCTCATGGGGGGAGTGGTTGGTACCACGGGCTGTTAAAAGTAGAACGGATGTTTTTCCCAGATATTCCAAACTGAGAAATTATTTCTGTTTAAGGGTGTTCTCCTGACTGAGATAAAGGAAGGGGATAATCCTTTGATGCTGTTTGGCTCTTGCGCAGTGTTTTGCATTTGCAGTTAAGAAGTTTGTAGGTCCCAACAAGGAAGCTGCTGTCAGATGCCATGGTGAGACCTTCCTTCATAAATCTGAGATGACAGAATACCAGAAACAGAGATGTGGAATGAGTGGTGCTTTGTCCTGTTCAGACCCTCTGTTTCAAGTGCCTTTGATGGAGAAGGGGTTAAAAAAAAAGTCCTGTGTGAAATGTCTGCGCACTTCTCCTGTAACTTGAGAAAATTGCCTCCCTCTTCTTTCAGAAAATGTGCTGCCTCTATGCCAGGATGAGCACTTCATGGTTTTGGCAATCAATACTTGCAGGAAAAAGTGATTTTTAAAAAATTCACATTTTCTTGTGTGCAGTGTTCAGTGATAAGTATCTCATTGCTGCTTTGCCTTTGAGAAGTTGTTTTGTACAGAAGCAAGTTGGAGGAGCGAAAGGAGCAATTCGGTGTTTCTGACTGGAAAAAAAATAACAATCAATTTTGGTTGATAATATAATGCTAAAGGAGAGGCGTGTGGAGTGTCCGTGCTGTGAAATATGTATTTCTCTGCTCAGAAAGACCAGGCTTACATCAAACTGGCAGCGTGTTCTCACTTCTTAGTGACTGTTACCTAAGGACAGTGGACTTGTATTGTTAAAAAACACCTTTTCCCCTAAATAAAGGGGTGCTGCGCTCAACTGCGTGTTTCCAGGTACTTCTTTGACACATTTTCTGATGGCCTTGGGAGTTTTGAGGAATCTTTAAACATCTTTTGGGCGCAGGCTGTCATCAACGAGGCTGAAAACCGTCTAGTGCTGTGCTCTCCTGACAGCTTGGCCTCTGGCCACTCTGGAGTGTCAGTATCTAACGGGAAAGGATGTGGAGTGGAATTTTTG